GTTATCCGATTTAGAGGAAATCGATCATAGTGATGATCGGATTAGTATCTTGATAAGATTCTATCTTTGTAAACCGGATAAATGTTTTAAGCGGAGAAGTAGAAATACGATCAAAGGCTGTTCGGATTAGATATAAACCGGTTAATATGTTGTCCGGTTTATTCATAAACCGGCCAAGGCTTTGAACGGAATTGTGTAATCCGTTTGAGTGAAGATCGGATTTGAAATGTGTTAGAAAAATATTGTATATGTAAACCGGACAAAGCTTGATCGGGTTTGTTTTAATGTTGTCCAGATTTGTAAATCGGACAAGTGGACTTGTGTTGTCCGGATTGTTACACCGGCCAAGACTTGACCAGAGATGAAGTCCGGCCAAGTCCATGTCAATCAAGTTTCAAGGTTGACCGGATTAATACTTTGACTAAAGGTATTTGATCAAATCAATCATTATTATGACATTCTTTTAATATGATAAAGAATGAGAATCTTTATAAAGATGATTTTTGAACTGATAATATTTCATTAGGACATTTATGACTTCGGTCTGTTCTAATTGGAAATATTTTGTAAAAGATTTGATGAGGAAATAAGGGTGGCATATCAAGGAGAGGTGTACCATGGGATAAGGGTGGCATATCAAGTGGTATTATGTGAATTTGGAAGCTTCCAACTTATTGGTTTGAATATGTTTATAAAGCCGAATGATTGGCTTTGGAAATTGATAAGATATTGGTATTATGGAATGTATGTTCATATATTTGTTTTATATGAAAATTTGATTTTAAATAACGTTTTGGTGATCTTCACCCTGCAATGACATAGAAAAAGGGATCTCACTAGACCTTCCAGTCTAACCCTCATTTTCGTGATTTTAAATATGTATTGCAGGATCAAGGAGATCGAATCCGTGTTTAACACCATTAGGTGTCCAGAAACAGATAAAGTTCGATTTGCCGTATCTGTATTGAAGTCTAACGCTCTGTTTTGGTGGGAAGTTGAGTTGTTGGCCAGAATAGATGTCTTACAAACGTTATCATGGGCAGAATTTGTGAACCGATTCAAAGATCAGTTCTATCCCAAGACGGTTGTAAGACAAATGGAGGAAGATTTTTTGAAGTTGGAACAGGGCAATGGAACTGTTCGAGAGTATACTGAGAAGTTCATTGAGTACTCTCAGTTTGCTAAACATTACATCTCGTCAAAATCCAGGAAGGTGGAAAGGTATATTTGGGGTTTAAAACCTTCGATCCGTGAATTTGTGATCGCTATGAACCCTACTACCTTTCATTAACTGTGGATGCAGCGGAAGTTACTGAGCGGAATAAGAACCGACAGACAGAGGGTAAGATTGTTGAGAAAAGGAAATGGGAAGGGCCTTCGTCTAATTTCCGAGGGTCAAAATCGGTGAAATATGGCAATAAAACTGAACAGAAGGTCGGTGAGAAATTATGTGCTCAGTGTTGACAGATTCATCAAGGGGACTGTAAAGCAGACCCGAGAAAATGTTACAAATGTGGTGAGGCAGGTCATTTGTCAAGAAGCTGCAAAGCCAACAGAAGATGCTTTAATTGCAATTCCCCAGACCATATTCGACCTAACTGTCCGTTGATGAAAACTCCACAGTTGACTATGGGGAGTAATGTATCAGGTACTCGTGGAAGACCCAATGTATCTAGAGGAGGACAAGGAGGGGCGCGGGGTCGGTCCTTCCAAATGACAAAGAACGAGGCAGAGGCCACGCCAGATGTAGTAACAGGTACCTTTCTTCTAAATTCTATGCGTGCTAAGGTGCTGTTTGACTCAGGTGCAAATTTTTCGTTTGTATCACCATCATTTGCTCGACTTGCATGTTTGAATTTTGTGCTACTTGACGATAAATTAGTAGTTGATAATGCTAATAGTCAAGAATTTGTTACTAGTGTATTCAATAACTGCGTTATTGTTATTGAGGGGTGTGAGTTACCAATTCGACTGTTCCCAATGCCGATGAAAAAATTTGATGTAGTAGTAGGTATGGATTGGTTGGCGGAACATCAGGCCAGTATTGTTTGCAATAAAAAAATGATCAAAATTATCTTGCCAGACAGAAGATCAGTTGTTATCTATGGTGATCGTCAGAATCATCATACTAGTCTTTTATCTATGTTAAAAAACCGAAAGTGCATTTGAAAGAAGTGTCAGGGATGTTTGGCTTATATTATTGATGCAAAGAAAGAGAATGGGAAACAAGAATTGATTCCAATTGTTAGTGAATACCCAGAAGTCTTTCCAGAAGACTTGTCTGGTTTACCGCCGAACAGAGTTATCAAATTCAGAATTGATCTCTTACCTGGGGCAGCACCAGTAGCCAAGGCACCGTATCGGTTGGCTCCATCAGAATTGAAGGAACTGGTTACTCAGTTAAAGGATCTGCATGATAAGGGATTCATTCGACCCAGCACTTCACCCTGGGGTGCTTCGGTCCTTTTCGGATGTGTATAGACTATCGAGAATTGAATAAGTTGACAATCAAGAATAAATATCCTTTGCCAAGGATTATTGACTTGTTTGATCAACTGGTGGGGGCAAGCTATTTCTCAAAGATCGATTTAAGATCAGGATATCATCAGCTTAAGGTCAGGGAGGAAGACATCGCTACGAGCTTTCCAAACTAGGTACGGGCATCATGAATTTTTAGTTATGCCATTCGATTTAACTAATGCGCCCGCAACTTTTATGGATCTAATGAATAGGATATGTAAAGAATATCTTAATAAATTTGTTATTGTATTTATCGATTATATTCTTATATACTCTAAAACCAAAGAGAAGCACGCAGAACATCTCCGCCTGATACTTGAACTACTAAAAAGAGAAAAGTTGTATGCAAAGTTGTCTAAGTGTGAATTTTGGCTAAAGGAAGTACAATTATTGGGTCATGTTATATCAGAAGCAGAGGTGAAGGTAGATCCAGCAAAGATAAAATCAGTTGAAAAGTGAGAGGCCCCAAAGACTCTTACTGAAATCCGAAGCTTTTTGGGATTGGCAGGCTATTACCGAAAGTTTATTCAAGACTTCTCTAAAATAGTTGTGCCAAATTTCAGTGGGAGGAAGAACAGCAAAAAGCCCTCCAACTGTTGAAAGATCATTTCTGCAGTGCCCCGGTGTTGACTCTACCAGACGGACCAGAAGATTTTGTAGTATACAGCGATGCGTCGAAACTAGGGTTGGGATGTGTTCTGATGCAAAGAGGAAAGGTGATTTCTTATGCATCTCGGCAACTAAAAGATCATGAGAAGCAATACGCAACTCATGATATGGAATTTGCAGCAGTGGTGTTTGCTTTGAAAATATGGAGGCATTATCTTCTGGGAACAAGATGCCAAATTTACACTGATCATAAAAGTTTACAGCATCTATTCAGCCAGAAAGAACTGAATATGCGGCAGCGTCGATGGATTGAGCTTGTTAATGATTATGATTGTGAAATCCTCTACCACCCCAGGAAAAGCCAATGTGATAGCTGACGCTTTAAGTAGAAAAGAAAGAAGTGGAACTATTAAGACTGTGGCGATGAGAATAATTTAACCCCCGACCTCCATACAGAAATTTTGAGATGTC